ATGCTAAAAGAAATATTGACAGGTCTACTCTAAACAGTAAAGAAGCAGGATGCTACAAAAATGAGAAACTCATAACTGGAAAAGAGATAACTGCCATGAATTACAAAAAGAATAAACACAAAATTGTGAAAGAAGACATCTAAATCATTAAGAGTGGGAGAGGGAAGCAAGGAAAGCCATTATGGAAAACAGTATAGAGATTCCTCCAAAGACTAGGAATAGACTTACCATATGACCCAGGAACCCCACTCCTGGGCATATCCAGAAGGAACCCTACTTCAAAATGACACCTGCACCCCAATGTTCATAGCAGCACTATTTATAATAGCCAAGATATGGAAACAGCCTAAATGTCCATCAACAGATGACTGGATTAAGAAGAGGTGGTATATTTATACGATGGAATACTATTCAGCCATAAAAACTGACAACATAATGCCATTTGCAGCAACATGGTGTTCCTGGAGAATGCCATTCTAAGTGAAGTAAGCCAGAAAGAGAAAGAAAAATACCATATGAGATCGCTCATATGAGGAATCTGAAAACAAAACAAAACAAAACATAAATACAAAACAGAAACAGACTCATAGACATAGAATACAAACTTGTGGTTGCCAAGGGGGCGGGGGGTGAGAAGGGAAGGACTGGGATTTTAAAACGCAGAATAGATAAACAAGATAATATTCTATAGCACAGGGAAATAAAACAAGATCTTGTGGTAGTTCATAGCGAAAAAAAATGTGACAATGAATATATATATGTTCATATATAACTGAAAAATTGTGCTCTACACTAGAATTTGACACAACATTGTAAAATGACTATTACTCAATTAAAAAATGTTTAAAAAATGGAGAATTGTTGTTTAATGACTATAGAGTTTCAGTTTTTCAAGATGAAAATTTCTGGAGATCTGTTGCACAGCAACGCCAATATGCCTAATGCTATTGAACTGTACACCTAAAAATGGTTAAGATAGTAAATTTTATATTATTTATTTTGAACAAAATTAAAAAAAAAAAAGAAGCTGGGCCAGAGGTGAGGGGCACTGCTGAAGCACAGGAATAGAGCCTGTGGACGGAAGTCAGGGTGTGTAAGCACTGATAGGAGGAAACACCATCTACATTTTCACTCACTTTGTGCTGCAGAAGAGCATGTCCATCCCCTCAGGATGTTGGTGACAAGCCACAGCTGTGGTGACACTGGCTGTGACCATGAAACCAAAGGAAGTCACTGATGTTTTCTTAACATAGCATTATGGTCATAGAATCTCCAAATATTGTTTAACCTCATCTGACTTCGGAATCACCAATTCTGATAATATAATTGCTTTAATAAAAAGGTGCAACTTGGGCTCAAACTATTCAACATGAAAATAAAATTAGAGTACTCGTTTCAGCAGGACATGTACTAAAATTGGCACAATATAGAGAAGATTAGCATGGCCCCTGCATAAGGATGATACACACATTCGTGAAGAGTTCTATGTTTTTTGAAAAAGTTTATCTTTGTCTTGCTCACTGTTTAGTCATAAATGATGTAAGGTAATGGAGTTTTAATATTGCAGGAGGTCGACTTGCATACAATTGATAGATTTTTAAGTCTTTGAGATTAACTTTTTAAAGTTAGCCCTGTGTTCTTGGATGTAGTCAAATGATAATTCTTTAGAACTATTCCATTTTCCAGACATTTTACATTCAGATGGTGGTTCCCAGCTGGTAGATTGTTCCTTTTGGTAAGCTTCTTTATGGTAGTGTCTGTTTTACTTGAGTTCTTAGGTGCTCTGCAGACAAAATGGAAGGAGGTTATTGTTACCTAGCACTTTGGCTTTCAGGCTTAAAGAAGAACCCCCACAAATGTCCTTGCTGTATCATAGTGCTATTAAAAGCATCTTGAGTGAATAAAGAGTCAATTTATTGAAAGTAAAAAAATAAGTAAAATGAATAGTATCCAACTGGTCCACAGAATGAGAAACCTCGGATTATGGATATGGGCTCTTTTTTCTACCCTACCCAGACATCCAGTTGGTCACGAACGTTGTAGAGTCTCTCTCCGAAGCTCTTTCAAATTCATCTGGTCCTGCTGATTTTCCATTCTGATGCTTTATTTCAAATGTTCATTGCATATCTTGATTATGGGCTATGATTGAATTGACCCTTGATTCACATAGGGCCCCTGTCCTCACTTCCTCCTCAGATTCTTTCTCCTTTCCTGGTGCCTTCTGGTGGGGGAAGTCTGGTCCCAATCCCAGGATTCCTCTCTCTTCTTGTCTGAATAGCTAGGCTCCTTTCAGAGAATGGCTCAGAAACTTGCCCCACGTGTCCTCTCCTGGAGAGGGCAGCGTCCTCGCCTCCATTTCCTTCCAAATAGAGTGCATTCTGCTGGTATTTATCACCTCCTTTAACACAAAGTGACTCTAAACGTCTGGACTGAAGAAGCGGTCCATCTGGATGAATATGAAGGTTTGAATGTAGTTTGACCGTAGGATGCAGTGCAGAGACACCTTGGACTCATGGCTGGAATCGTGAGAGGTGCAGACTGGGCAGAGCGGGGGTCCTGAGCACCAGCACCTGCCTAGGGTGGACGTGTGTTATGCATCCACTAGAGGGCGCTGTGGCCTATGCACCGGCTCTATGCTCTCCAGTTTCTCAGTTGTTTCCAGACCTCTTGTAGGTGTTCCTGTGACCTCACTGGGGTGAATAACATCCCCCCTCATACAGTCTTTCTTATTATCAGGTTATCAACCATGGCTAAGGCTGAAGGAGGAATTTAAACAACCTCATAAGGGGTAAGATTTGCATGGAGACCTCTCACCCTCAGGATCAGGGTGACGTATAAGAAGGGTTGGTGGGCCCAGGCCTGGCTGTGGGGCTCAGGAAGCAGAGCCTGAGCACCTCTACCATGGCCTGGGCTCCACTCCTCCTCACCCTCCTCGCTCACTGCACAGGTGGGTGCCTACAGGGCATTCTGGGAGGGTTCCTGTCTGTCATCTGGCAGGATGGTCTCTCCCTCCTCCCTTGGAACGGGATCTGTCCTGTCTTCGCTGATCTCTGTGTCCTTCCTCATTGCAGGGTCTTGGGCAGAGGTTGTGCTGACTCAGCCCAGCTCTGTGTCGGGGTCTCCTGGGCAGAAGGTCACCATCTCCTGTGCCCGCAGCAGCGACAACACTGGGGATTGTGCACTGCTACCAGCAGCGCCCAGGCAGTGCCCCCACCACTGTAATCTACGAAGATGATGAAAGACCCTCTGAGGTTCCCGCTCGGTTCCCTGACTCCACTGACACCTCCTCCAGTGCCGCCTCCCTGACCATCTCTGGGCTGAAGTCCGAGGACGAGGCCGACTACTGTTGTCAGTCTGGTTATGACAGCAGTAAGAACACAGTGCTCCAGACCCATGAGGAGGTGAGACCAAAACTGCCCAGAGCCTCCCTGTCCTGGGTCTGCCCTCGACCCATCCCAGCCAGGAGGGCTGATTCTCCCTGTGTCACGCTTGGAGGCTCAAGTTGGACTTTCATGAGTTCTTCTCTTTTCCTTTCAAAATATAATATTTTCCTCTCATGTCTTGATGGATGATCTCATAATCCACTGCAATCAGTTCATGGAGGAGATTTAGTTCAAATCAGGGTTTCTGAACTTCTGTATTCCTTGTGGAGGGGGCTCTTCTGTGCACTGCAGGACATTTAGAAGCATCCTTGAGCCCCACACATCAGAAGCCAGTAACAACCTACTCTCCATATTGTGACACACACACAAAACTCCAGCCATATTCAAATATCCCCTGGGAGAGCAAAAATCACCCCAGTTTGAAAACTGCATGGTAAAGAGCATGTTCTCAGCCATTCGGAAGCCTTTGGCTTTGAACCCTGTTTCTGCCATCACTGGGTGTAAGATGTGTCACCTCCTTGTGCTACTGCTTTGCCATCTTAGACAAACATCAACACACAGTTCAAATGATTGTTTTGATGGATGAATAATGTTGTAAGACGATAAGGTCAGAGAACCTGTGACCCAGTCGTGTGGAATCTCCTCCCAATCAGAGCGTGGAGTATGATTTTTGGCTAGATTAGATGTGTGAATAATATTTTAAAACTTTATAAAAAACACATGAAAATATAATAGCTTGCTCTTCATTAATTCCCACAGGGATTATTTTTCAAGCATGGGATACAAAGATAAAGATGTGGAAAGGTCCCGTACTCTTATGGTTTACAGTTTAGGGTGGGTATGAGGAAACAGACAAGAACACAGGCAAAGACGAGTGTATAAAAATGTCCCTTGTTGACCTAATGAAACTTACAAGCTTCTGCAGAGCAAAGGAAACCAGAAATAAAACAAGAAGAAGACCTACGGAATGGG